CATTCTTACATACGATTGCACATTGGATTTGATATGTGGAAATTTTTCAAAAAAATAAGAAAGGATTTCAGTTGGGGATTGATTTGGGAAAATTATACTAAATAATTGAAAAAGGATTTGACATGGGGAATTTACAAAAATAAAAAAAAATTTCACTTACATTTAGTGATTAAGATGTGAAAATTATACTAATCAATTGAAAAAGGATTTAACATGGGAAATTTCAATATAGATGTAGATCATCATCATAGTTCCACACTTACACCACCAGATGGTAAAAAATTTTTCTCTTATAGTTCAGATCAGTCTGTAATACTATGAAAGCTGAGACTCTAACTCAGAAATAAAGCAAATTTTTTTTATTTTCAGATGAATTGCAGTAATATTATTTGATATTTAATTAAATAATTTCTAATTTTTGTAAACTGCCGTCTGCATAAAGTAGCCAACTGAAAATTCCCAAATGAAATCCTACATTGTTTCCTATATGTAAATCCATCTGAAATTTTAGGTTGAAATTTCAGAATCTACATGAAATCTTATATGATTTCCTATGTTCAAATCTATGTGTAATCATATACGTGAAAATTTTTCAATATTTTTCGGCTCCCAGACACCTTCATACCATTTTTGCGTTATTTGTGACTTTCGACATCAGCAATCACGTAACGATTGTGCCTGAGGATTTTCACTACTTCATATGGGCCTTTAAACACAGGACGTAATTTAGGCGAGATTCCTGGAGTTGAGTCAAAATTCCTTATCATTACATAATCGCCTTGCTTATACACATACGCTTCTTTTCGATGTTTATTTACATATTTTTCATTGTAGCTCTGGCTCTTCTCGATTTTCTTTTCAGCCGACGTTCGGATATTTTCTAAATTTCTATCAATTTTACTCTCTAAAAACATTTTTATTTCGTCGTTGACTTTACCGATTTGATCCATACCAAACAACATTCTGCTCGGAGTCTCCCCGGTAGACTTGTGCTCGGAATTGTTTATTGCATATTCTATATCGTTTATTACACGAGGCCATTTCATATTGCATTCATTACCAGCAAGCTTACCCAACAGCGGTTCAATTGTTCGATTTACGCGTTAAATTTGCCCATTCGCTTGTGGCGATGCAGTTGCAACTTTTACATGATTTATTCAATATTCTGACACAAATTCCGCAAATTCACTTGATGTGAAACAAGATGCGCGATCGGAAATTAACGTCTGCGGTTTACTATACGAATTAAAATAAGTTTTTAAGTGTGCTATCGCTTCTGCCGTTTTTGTCGTTCTGGTAGGGTACATTCTAACAAACTTGGTAAAGGCATCAGTCATCATCAGTATATGATTTTTTATCTTTAACGCGCGAATCAAAAATATCAATAAAATATGATCTATGTGAATCGTTTGAAAAGGCAATTTTCCTTTCGGAATTATTTGAATTAAACTCTCGACCTTCCTTCATATGGCACGTAAAACAACAGCAAATCATTTTTTCCGATACATTACTCCATTTCGCAGTTCAAAATATTTATCCTCACGCGATTCTAATGTCTTTCGTAATTCTGCAATTCGACTATCTTTAGTTTGAGATATAGCTAGAGTTTTCTCAAAAGAATTGTCTTGAATTACCTCCAAGAACTGAACTCTAGTCAGCCGTCGACATGGGTCATACGTCTGCCTTTCCGATGCTCAGTTTGACAATCAAACTCCTGTAATTCTATTACCCATCGCTCGATTTGCGGGTTAATGTCTCGTTTTTTCACGGCTAATATTAGCGAATTACAATCAGTTATTATTTTGAATTTAATTCCCCTTAAGTACAGACGAAACCTACGAATTGAATAAATAATTGCCAGTATTTCCAGTTTAAAGCTGTGATATTTGCTTTCCACCTCCGTCGGTCTTTTAGAGAAATAAAATACAGGCTGAAATTTGTGATCTGAGTTTCGCTGCATTAAAACGGCTCCAAATCCAAGGGACCTTGCATCGCAATGAAGTTCTGTTTCATGGTTCGGAATAATAATTGACAAAATTGGTGAACTTATTAATCTTTCCTTCAATTGATTAAATGCTTCCAATTCTTTCTCACCGAACTTAAATTTCACCCCTTTGCGTAACAAATCATAAAGTGGTTTAGCAATTACTAAAAATTTGTCAATGTATTTTCTAAAGAATGAAGTCAACCCTAAAAAACTTTGAACCCCCTTGACATTAACTGTAACTGGAAAACTCGTCACAGCTTCGACTCCTTTAGTAGTGGGTGAAATCCTGGACTGGATAATTTCATATCCCAAAAACTCGATTTTATTATATAAAAATTTACACTTAGCAAAACGGACTTCTAAATGATTTTCGACTAATAATTTAAACAACTTTTTTAAAATTACATAATGATGCTCTAAGGTAGTAGTAGCTATTAAAATGTCGTCCATGTATACTACGATATCTCCCGCATCAATCAACTCCTTCAAAACATTATTTACAAAACGCTGAAACATACTTGGTGCCGTCTTTAGGCCGAAAGTCATACAAGTAAATTCATACGATCCAAAAGGGGTGACGAAGGCTGTATATTTAATCGACTCTTCAATAACTCTAACGTGATAGAAACCGTCTTTTAAATCCAATAAACTGAAATATTTTTTTCTATTTTAAAACGTCAATCCCCTTCAAAAAATATAAGTCTAAATTTTTTCAATGTATCACGCCCTAATAAAATCGATGACTTTATCGTGTCATTATGTACAACTAACAAATTTATTTCTTGTGAGACACCTCTCATTAACAACATTACAGTAACCGACCCCAATACATCAAGTTTAGAATTATTAATTCCACTATAATTCATTGAATTGACATTATCTCTTACTATAAAATCCGAGTTTACAAGAGCTTCTTTAATCAGACTTACCGGACTACCGCTATCCAACAATGCTCTAGATCTTACATCAAATTGCTCAACATCGACGTCGAAATTCAATTCTACATAAAGATAGAAATCGTTGTCACCTGTGAACTCTTCAATGTTTATAATCACCTTCTGGGCTCCCTTCCTCTTTGGGGAATTCACAATCTGCTGCGCAGTCGATCCACACCCATAGCACCCTCCCTTCGCTGGTACAGGCTGCTTGCAAGTAGGGGAGATATGTCCCTTCTCCCTCTTTCCAGCAGTCCTCATCAACTTTGGATTGCTCGTACATGTGGTAGGATTATCAGCTCGCCCTGAGAGGGAAAATTTTTCAAATGCTGTCAGCAATGACTCGATCGTCTTGAATTGATGTATTCTGGCCTGATCCTTTAACTGTTGGTCAGGTATTCCTTCTACTAAGTAGTCTATTCGATCATCTTCCTCAATAGGAACTTGGTTAGCGAGGATGATTTTATCATGCACATAATCACTAAATGTTTCTTTTTTTCCAGAATTCCACGTCAATGCTCGCCTCTTTAGCTTGGAGCATATCAATACCCTAGTAGTATTATCGTCCAAATTGTACGCAGTTTTCACCAGCTGATTGTTGGCGCATCACATCATCAGCCTGTTTTCTCGTAGCGTCCAACTCGCATAATCCAGGCCGAGTTTTCGTCGCATTTCCGTCTGTCTATTGTTCCACGTGCCATTCTCCACATGGATCTGCTTTGAGAATTCGTGCAACTAATTCGTTTTTGTTACCAGAAGAATTGAGACCATGTGGTCTCAATATCTCTCTCAAGTCTATAAATGTGCGCAATTGCCAATTTTGCCGAGTAGTGCTTGTTTACAGATTGTCCTCCATTTTGATAAACGCTTTCCGGCTTGAGAACCTTAAAAAATTATTTTCCTTCTAATTGCAAGGTTACCACTTTCGTTCCGAAACAGCTTCACCAATCACCACCATAAACCACAATCACCGTCAATAAAAAAAGCACACCCGCACAAAAGCCAGTTATAATTTCACCAATTATTACACCAATCGTCAAGCGTCCATTTTGAACAATGAACTTTTCACGTTGACCGAGTTTCATTTTTCGAAAATCCGGCATCACTGTTGATCTTGACCGAGATCTTTATCCCACTTCTGAATATTGTAAGAATAAATAATAACAGAACATTTAAAGAAAATCCAATTAATAACATGTATTTGCCACTCCAAATGACTAAAATGTACATAAAATATATTTAACCATATTAGGTCAATTGTCAAAAGCGGGCGAACGAATACTGCCTCGGTCCGCTTTTCCGCGAAGTTATATTATTTCCTCTAATCTCCCCGCTCCTCGCAATCACACACATTCACACATACACACAAAGACCTTACAATATTAAAAAAAAATTTTAGTCGATTCTCACAAACAGTGTTGGCATCTAACACAAGCAACATATATATTTGCTTCGATGTACACGCAAAAGTTACCTTGTATGAAAAGAAATGTTTTTATAAAAAGCAAATGACATTTTAATATTGCGTGTTAAAAAAAATCGACTGTCTAACAACTGTAGCCGTCTCACAACTGGATACATTCCCCAACATAAACTCGGCCTTACCTTCCTTGGTGCATAATATTCCAAGTAGCAAGTAATATTACTATAATATTAAAATGTTCACCTCATGGTAATATTACCGGTTAATATTTGCAGTAATATTACAGTAATATTACTGTAATGGTACTGTTATATTACAGTAATGGTAGCCTGTAATATTACCATGAGGCGGACATTTTAATATTACTGTAATATTACGAGCTACTTGGGATACTACTATAAAGTCTGTCAATTACATAATTAATATGCAAAAAGGATCATCAGGTTTCGTCAATTTTGGTCGACGTTATTTAATTTTGAAAAATGTCATAAATTAAACATTTTTCAATAAAATTTACAGGTTATTTGTAACTATAGTAGAACTATCTTCTTGCACATTTACATTGATAAATTCCAACCTTTGCAAATTTTAGATCCACTTGAGAAATTCTAGCCCCAGTAATAAAACTACTAATCGTAATAACTCTTAAACTTACCACCATTAGAAAGGTGAAACTTTCTCTGACAGTTCCAAAGCATCCACAGGAAGCGGAAATGAAGACAATGATTCCAGCAATAACCAATACAACTGGAGGAATAGCAAGTCTCGGTTCCATAAAATGTCCATAGTAAACAACGTCATTTGTGATGTAACCTCCAACAACCAAAACTGTTATTCCTGAAAGCTTTAAAGAATACAACGTTTTCAATTATTCTGTATGACGTTTTTATCAATATAATGCCCGTTTCTAATAAATCTAATGAGATAATAAATAATGTCAATAATTTTTTCGATTTGTTTTCTAAGGTGTTAAATAAATAAATCTTTTAGCGGAGTCAGGCTTTGCCAAAGAATCAGTAACAATAAACATTTCATTTCCAATGAAATATCAGTTATATCATACATGCTCGAACACCTCGTTTTACTAATAGTGTGAAGCGGGTTGTAAATAAAATAATTTGTTTTTTGAATTCTTAATAACTGATTTTTAGGGTTTCGTGGCCCATGGCCGAAAGCCTTATAGTTTCACTTTGGCGTCCGTCTGTCCGTAGTATATTTTGGGGCACCACAGCTCCCAAAATCAAATTTTAGGGCACAGATCCCAAATTCAAATTTTGGGGCCAAACAGATCCCAAATTAAACTTTTGGGGTACCACAGATCCCAAATTCGAATTTTGGGCAAACATAGCTTCCAAATTCTAATTTTGGGGCACCACAGATCCCAAATTCAAATTTTAGGGCACAGATCCCAAATTCAAATTTTAGGGCCCCACAGATCCCAAATTAAACTTTTGGGGCACCACAGATCCCAAATTCAAATTTTGGGGCCCCACAGATCCCAAATTAAACTTTTGGGGCACCACAGATCCCAAATTCGAATTTTGGGGCCCCACAGATCCTAAATTCGAATTTTGGGGCACCACAGATCCCAAATTCAAATTTTGGGGCACCATAGCTCCCAAATTCAAATTTTGGGGCCCCACAGATCCCAAATCTCCATTTACTGAATGGACATTTTCCCGAATGGACATTACATGAATGGACATTACATGTCCCATTAGTTAACATGGCCCTATAATTGACATGTCCCAGTAGTTGACCTGTCTCAGTAATTGACATGTCCCAATAGTTGACATGTCCCTATAGTTGACATGTCCCAGTAGTTGACATGTCCCTATAGTTGATATGTCTCTATAGTTGACATGTCCAAGAGTTGACATGTCTTAATAGTGGACATTATCGAATGGACATTTTACCTAATGTTTTTGTTTGTGAATCAAAAAAGATAAATGATAGAAGAAAGACCTCCACTCCACAGCCACTCTTTCTTTTTTCTTTCATTTACCTTTTTTTCAATTTTGATTTTTGCCAATTTTTGATTTTCTTTGATTGCCATTTTTTAAAAAGTTTGCCATAAATTTTTTTTTTATAATAAAAATTTTGCTAAATAAATAAAATTTAATAGTACATAAAATTTATAAAATAAATTTTATTATTTATTTTTAAATTATTTATTTTTGATTTATTCTTTTTTTAATTAAAATTTAAAGCGCCACGAAACCCTAGATGTAGGCGCAATTGCGCCTAGTTCTTTTCCTATTTTTTATTTTTCTTATTTAGACATCTTATTTAGACCCTGTGATACTGGGTAATGATTATGTATTTTGATTTAACTTTGACGTCAAAGTCATTTTCATATTGACTTCGTAGTCAAATGTCCTTTTTCGTAGTTTTACGTAAAATGATTGTTTTGATTTGTCAAATTGTAATATCCACAATTTATTTAGGAATTAAATTATAAAAAAGTAAAGTTAGTAATTTTAAACAGTTAAAAAAGCGGTATAATTAAGAGATTTTTAAAAGATTAATAATTAGGTTAAAATTATTTAATAAAAAATTATTTCATCTGTCAACGGTAAGTATTTTTTAATGTTGAAACCAGGGATATGTTATAATTGTTTTGAATAATGCCTTACTTTCATTTTTATAAATGTAGTCAGAATAAAATAAACTAAAATATCAAAAACTAAAGAAGAAATTATGTCGTTCAAAAGATAATTCAAAACATAAAAAATTACTTACATTTGACAGATGAAATATTTTTGTCTTAAAATAATTTTAACTTAAATTAGTTTCCTACTGTTTTGAACAATTTAAAATAGAAAATGCACAACATAAATTATTATTAAAAATACTCAATTTTTTGGCATAATGTAATTGCAATTAATTCCTAAACATAAATTCAGTAACGAGACTGTTATTTATATTTGTGTAAATAAAAATTAACGATTAATTTTATTTAAACTGTAATTAATTATATATAAATAGTAATATTTAAATAATTCTTTCAATTTTTCCTCTTAACATATGTGAATGAATAAATACATAAAATAATATTAATGTTTTAATTATATTTCATAAATTAAAGTTTTTTTAACCTCTTACTTTTACTTAGTTTGTTAAAGTTATAAAAGATTTTTAAAAATCCTTGTAATGCTGTCTTGATCTTTTTAAAATTACTTATTTCACTTCTTCACCATTTAATTCCTAAATAAAGTTTTTATTTTTAAATTTTTAATAAAGGGAAAAAAGTAATTATACTTCAAAATTGTGGTTATTACAATTTGACAAATCAAAACAATCATTTTACGTAAAACTATGTAAAATGACATTTGACTACGATGTCAAAATGAAAATGACTTTGACGTCAGAGGTAAATCAAAATACATAATCGCTACCTTGTAGTACTCGAAGAACATATAAAACAAACAAATACTATATAATGAGTGAGCTATGAAAACTGGAATATAATACTAGTTAAAATAATGTTGTTAATCTTTAAGTATTTCTTATAATTTTCATTATTTTTAGGTAAAAAAGCATTCTCACTGCAACTTGTTTCTAATAATTGTTTTGAAGCTTTACAAATTCATCATGGAAAATTTGGCATAAACATTAAAAAAAACGCACATATCATTAAAACTAAGATTAACACCTTTTAATAGTACTGTAGCAAAATAAAGACAAACTAATCCTTTGCCTGGATTGATAAAAAGTCCCGTAAATTCTACAAATTTTAGTTTTTCAATAAGCGGTTTGAAATGTTTTTAGGTTTTTGTATGATTTCCTATCTTGATCGTTAAATAACAAAACTTCCAAAATATTTTATAATTTCGCATGGCAGTCAGGAGCCGCCGTGGCGGCCCCAGCATCAGAATAGAGCCCCCGTAGGTTACCGCGTGTCGTAAGAGGCGACTAAAGGGTACCCCCTGCTGGAACGAGAGCGGAGTCCCAGCTAGGGGCTGGCAGTGCACAGACGTTCATGCAAGTCAAATATTTTTTCGTCCGTCCCACGGAGGAATAGTAAAGAGACCGATCTCTGCGTTTGAAAATGTCAGAAAAACATGTACGATAAGTGCCAGGTTCAGTGCATTGTACTCAACTGGCCTAAGTAGTTGAGCATGCGCATTGGACCTCAATTTTGACAGATGAAAAGTGTGGTTATGCGATATACATATATGTCACAAAAAAAATCTTAGTGTTCAGTGTTTATTTCAGAAATTTTATTTACCATTGCGATATTGTATCTCCAAAATCATGTGTAAGTATATAATAATGTATGCTATTGGAATATTTAAAGTGTCAATAAATTGAAGTAATTATTAAAAGAATAATGGAGCCATAGTAATTACAAACATATTATTTATTATGCATGTCATAAAAAAGATTTTTCTTACCAAGAAATTATTAGTTTTCAATTTAATTGTCAAATATTAACACAATAACATAACAATAACACATAACCTCTTCATCACAACACGCATGGAAGACTTGAGAAATATACGTCAGCCAGATCTCACTCGCACACTTTTTGCGAGAGAAAGAGACAGCATATGGCTAATGCGCATGCTCAGCTACTTTGGTGGTTGAGTACAATGCACTGAACCTGGCACTTATCGTACACGTTTTTCTGACATTTTCAGAAGCGCTACTACAGCAAGATCGGTCTCCTTACTATTCCTCCGTGGTCCGTCCTCCATGCGATCCGTGCGAGTCGGATAATTGAGAATGCGTCCCAAAAGCCACGGCGATGATAGTGAACTCCCGTAATGGTAAAGGACGGTGGTCTGTGTTATACTTGCAACTGTTATTGTCTGAGGAGGTTTGCTTTAGAGTTTTTCTGGCATCAATCTCGCCGCTGCCAACATTTTAACAAACCTGTGTAACATTGGTCAATAAGTATCCCAAAATGACGAATGGTTCAATCGTGATGTTCCAATAGGCTAATGGTAAAGGATTGTGGCATCGGCACGTGTTGTCGCTTGCCTTGACCTGAAGTAGTTCCGAGTTTTTCGGAAATCACTACCATCCAGTTGGTCTTGGCATATAAGGGGTGCATGCTGTCGTATTTAACCGGTAACCGACCGCCAGTATGGCCTCCGGTTCCCCGGATACTGGAAAGTGGTACTCGTACCTGAGTAGAATAGTACCACGGGACGTGTCTGTAGCCCAGGAGACCTACGGGTCTCCGCCAGGCATTGGGTATGGATTCGTGGTGGCACTGGTATGCCCACATCGCTTAGGGTTAGCGTGCGTTGGTACGTGGCAACACGTCTTTCGCATTCGGTGTGTGAGTTGCATTAACTCAACTTGGGTGGAAACCTGCAGAGTTTCCAGGAATTGGAAAGGTCCCGGCACTCACCAAGAGTGGCAATCGTGACTAGGTCGGTCGCATTGTCAATAGGCAGGTGACTGGAAGAAATTCTGCGTCATCGGTGCTGGTCAGGTATTAACTCTTGACTCCGTGTCTCATGGGGGACCGTGCTTGTATACCTGTACAGGGAGTTCTTGCACGTTAAACATTTAGGCGATGGCAGTCAGGAGGCAAACACGGTAAGTCAATGTATACAGTGCAAATTTTTCTTACAATAATAACCTAAGGGGTTATTTGGTTCCCCGCCATCGAAGTATAAAAACCATACGAATTACAATATCTTGATAGGCTAGTTAATAAGGACAAAAAATGCTACTAAATATAGACAAGCAGATCTAAACAGATTTTGGTAGTTTGAGTGGGTAGTATGAAGGGCCCATAGTTTGCTTTTGATTCCTGGTTGCAGAAATTTATATAAACAATAGTTTAAGTTGGTAAAAGGTGGTTTATGCGTGCTCGTTGTTTTCCTT